CACTGAAGAACCTGAGGGCAGTTGTGCAATTCCTACATGCTCACATTACATGACGAGGTGTACACTACGCAACGACTTGCTTTACATTATTCTTTATCTCGTGCGGACACAATCATTCAGTTCGCTGACCTATTCGACGAGGATCCCGTGTGCCTTGGTAATACGGTACAATAATCGGTCACGAGGTTACAATTCAATATTATTATTATTATTATTATGACCTCAGAATATGTATTAACTTCACTTTTTTCCACGTTCATTATTTGTGATTGTCTGATTTGCCTACCGAGTCGGCAGCTAATAGACAGACAGACAGACAGATTCATATCTGTCCCGGTTTTTATCCTTGCACTGCGATTTCCCGTCATCTCGTCGCAGATTGCTTTCTAGGGGTTCGCGCGCGCGCGTGTGTGTGTGTGTATACTTTGGTTTGCACGTGTTTCTTTGTGATTTTTACCGTACCTCTTGTTCACATTTGTGCTTCCGTCCTCCTCGACAGACTATCGTATTCTGTTCTTCACTTTCTACTTTGAAGAATTATGGTTACGATGCGTGCATGATTTCTTGCGTAGCCTGTTGCCTCGTTAATGATGTGACACTGTAGTCCGTCCGCTACATAGTGTTGCGTTCCTAGTGCCGTCTCGTTTTCACATCCAATCTGGCATCACTCCTGCATAATCGCTACCACCACCACCACCACCACTGCTACCAAATTTGTCTACTACTACCCAGTTTGTTTGGTGCGGACTCCGTTCTCCCCCGGTTATCAAACTATATAGGGTGAGGATGCAAGTTGCGAGTTGACATTCGCTTAGACAGAGAGGGATCTGAGCTAGATCCGAACCTCTCTCTCTCTCACACACACACATTTGCCTCCCCGGATTCCAGCTTTCACCTACCCCTCCACACCCCGAGCATTCATTCCCCTACCGATTGCTTTGGTTTGGTTTAGTTTCTTTGCAGACTATACGGATGATTCCCATCGCGTTTTTGTCGACTTTCTGCACAACACGTATTAATGACTTGCACATCTGTGCAGTAGTTCATCGTCTCATCAACCATTTGTTTTGACTCACGTACATTCGCTTTCGTCTTTTTTTCGAATCCCGGTAAACCACCGCCGAATTCGAGAAACCGGTACACTCTCGGCCCTGGAGATAAATGTCTTCGCCTTTTCCGAACTTTGGCCTAGTAAATGTTTGGGAATCGATGTCGCACGCAATTCTACGATGGGCTTATTTCGGTCGAGTAGTAATTTAGCCATTGACCCCCCCCTCCCAAATCTGTTGCTGATTGTTTTGATTCTAGAATCGTGGTCACATTTTGTTCGGCAAACACGGTGGGAATGGAAACTGTTCAACTCATCATCATCATCATCACCCTCATGACCATAATCACCACCAACAAGAACACCAACAAAACCTACTTGTGATGGCATTTGCACTGCCTTACCCACTAACTTCTTTATAGGACAACGATGCGGTGAAAAACAATTGTGTGTGTATGGTGGATGGAGGGAGCATTTCTTGTTGACTGCACGATTCCTCGGTAAAATTGAGGAGATTGGTAAAATCAATCAGTCTTTGTCTGCTTTTTATATGTAAAAATGTATTAGGTGGTCTCACTTTTATGTATCATCTTTTACCGGTTCATCACCATTATCATCTTATGTAGTGTTTGTTGGAAAAAATGAAGAAAGCGTCCCTATTGTGGTCCAAGTTACACAGTTATTGGTTGAACCTGTGCGAATTTCGTTTGATCTATTCCTTCCAATGTCCAGCCCTTTGAACTTCTTTCACTGGAATGACTATGGTATAACCGCACACCAGGCACAAAATATCTGTAATAATATTAACCTATGTTGTTGCTTGCATTGGCTTCTATGAACCGAATATCTTGAATAGTTCGATTTATCGATTTCGACGAGGGTTTTTGGAACATCTGTTGCAGGATAACAAAACCTCAGTTAAATGGCATTCGAATAGACATGATGCAGGTATTGTCATTGCATTTTGTCATTACCTTGTGTACCCTTCTTTATATTTGGAGCGCATGGACTGGCTGTTTCGCACCAACTTGGCAATCAAATCGCACTCTGACCTTTGACGATCGTTCTCTGGGGACTTATCATTTGTCTTCAGTCGAGAAAGGAACCTTTCGAGTGCACTCAGATCCAGTCCTGTTAGATCCTAGATGAATTAATTCGACCGTAGAATGTACCGATACGGGCACTGCAGAAATGTGAGGAGCACGGCAATGTATTGAGGTCTAAAAATGTTTGATAAATCCTGCATTGAAAAATGCAATTTTTCGCGAATGAGTTTCAACAGTGATACTCATCGAAAACTTGTTTGGTCTATGCGACATACTTGGCCCTATCCAGAATCACTAGTACGGAAGGCCAACAATAGGACGCTCACTATTTAACTCCCACCCAACTCATCAGGCCGGACGAATTTTCACTTTTTGTAACCGGTGAAGTGGCTTTCTTCGGCCAACTAGGTCAACAGTTCACTTTTCTTAGTCTGGTGCCACAGTCGTCAATTCCCAGACATTCGTCATTGAGACGAACGGAATGCGCAAATGACGGTCGATACGATTTGAATTTGTTCGCAAGATCAATACGCACTTTCCTTTGTCAGGTGTTCAATAACGACCCCACATCAGGTGCAATTCAAATTTAGTCATCATCTGCTTAACAGTGTCATGCGAAAATTACGGCTGATCCACTCGACATTGATTATTCGCATCCCTTCCCTGGCTGCAACCGATAATACCATTGTTTTGCCTCGGCGTGGTCGTACCTCTTCCTCCGAATTGCTTTTTTTTGCTGCAGAAATTTCCTTGGTTATGCGATAAATTGATCTTAGGTTTACATCGAAACACGTACATAAATTACGGACTGAAATTTGACTGAATTTATGCTCCTCTATGACACGTTGTCTTTCTGTATCACTTTTGTCCCGAAACAGTCCGTAAATTTCTGTTCTGTTCGGGTAAGGGAAGGGGAGGANGGCAGGGCAGGGATAACAACACGCTTGTTAAACGAGCCGCGCACCTCAAGGTCGACTTTTCAAAGTCAATATTCATTTTTCATGGATGATATTATTTTATGTTTGTGGTTACAAAAGTTTTCAATTTACCAATGATAATAAATAACTTTCGTGGTATATTCTTTGTGCACCTCTCATAAATTGATATGCTATTCAGAATACTTGGATTGATCCGAATAAACTCCCACATAAGACAGTGGTCATTTATTAAAAACAAATTATGAACCTTCATGCTTCTCTGCACCAAGTACTTTCTAATTTTGAGCTATAACATTCGAACCACTATGATTTTTTTTCTTGTCGCACCGCATACAATACTGACATAAAATAGTAGCGGGACTAACTGCTCTTTACCCATAATTATTGACACGCCAGTATGATATTGGAAACTGAAATATATTTCTAAATTCGGGGTCTTATCGCACGAGTTTGAATAATAATTGTATTTCTCATAAAAATGATCCATGAAGATTTCCGTTCTTTCAACCATCGTAAAAATGCTTCAGGGGTTGTGCATATTGCTTTTGTAAATTACTCTGTCACAAAACTGCATACGTGTGGTCCCGTTCATTCATCGCGTCAACATAGAACGAAAACAAATGTCGTGAGATGTTCACATTTTGTTTAATTTCCTATTGCTAACTTGAAATCATCAGTCAAAATGAACGAACATATGCAATGGAATACTAAAAATAGAAACGATGGATTCAGTCCGCCGTAAAGTGGATTGTTTGTGCCAACATCAATTGGGAGCATAGAACCGGACAATGTATAATCGAGTTAGCAACGATTCACTATATATATATATATATATATATATATACCACCGGCTTGAAAACAAGCATGGTGCCAACGCAACAACAATGACAGTGAAGGGGATAGGTGGATTAGGATACAGAACATGGGGAAAAGTGGGTGAGACAGTTAAACATGGAAAATACAAGATAACAGAATTTTTTTGTGTGTTTCACCGTACACCTTTTGCAATTTTTTTGTTGTATGATGTTTCGTTTTTCTTAATGGGCACGGGATTTCGATAGACAGATCGTACAGCATTCGCGCCACTGACTTCTATTCTGCGCCATATCTCTCAGCGTCTCTAACCATAGACAATCCTCATCTCTTGGGCCCCAACCTGGGAGGCGGGCTGCACCAACCGAAGCCAAAGCTGAAGCCAGCTTCTTCATACCTCTAGCCCATGTCATGGTCTGACCGCCGCGCCGCTTCTTCCAGCCTTGCCCGGCACGTGCAAAGAGAGCACGGAAAGGAAGTCGATGGGCAGGCATACGCAATACGTGACCCAGCCA